ATGGTATTACTGTTTACAAAGTGTCAAAGTATAACACTGGGTTCACTGGCAGTATTCTACAAAGTGTCGAGGAATTTATAGGTTGAAATTATGATGGTGCTAGAAACTTAGAAAGAGATTATACTGTATAGTGTAAATGACTAAGGAATTATCTACAGTTTAGGCATTTTCTTTAAGTGTGCAGCTGTGTGCTTATTTCATATATTTTCTTAGATTCCCGAGGATCGAAATTTTCTGGTTTATATATAATATAGTCAAGACTAGAATGTAACTGTAAATGCAAATGTCGCGTAATTATGTGAGTATTAGAGTATTACTTGAATAACTTAGATGTTTCATCTTATATTAATATTCAGTATTGTACTCAAGTGGGTCTATATATTATAAAGACTGTGACTAACACTTCCTTCCGCTCTAACTTGATTACTAGATAAATACTGTCTCGATGATTTAATCTCTCCTTTGAAGTTCTAGGCTGCGCAACAGGTTATTGGTCTGATAGGTAACCTATAGATAATCTGTTAATAAGATATATTATTATTGAAAAATGCAAATAAATAATCTATAAGTGATTTATATTATCTATTATAGTTTACTTAATATATAGCCTGAAATTATAACTTATTATAATTCATTATTTCATAGATAACTTATTAGTTTGTATATAATCTACTGGAGTATGAAACAAGTAATTCATAATCTCAACAGATAATCTATAGCCTGAGGTAGATAATAGTTCTAACTTGAATAGGTAATCTATAAGGCGGATTAATTACAGGTACCTGTGGATTGCAATTTATTTCTGCTAATGTGTAGTAGCCTATTCCTTTCCGATCTCCGTGTGAACATCATTCGATATTAGACACGGCGATACAAGAGCAAGACCATTCATCAAACCTGTCCTAGATAACAGGTCCATCCATTATCATCTTAAATATCTTTATCTTAGATCCGATGATGACCCATACAAGTAGAGCGAAGAGAGCACCTTTTAGCTTGGCTGTTACATATTATCCAGCTAAGAAGATCGCAAAGCTGTCATGAATATCCTCGAGTATCAGTTGGTATTCAGCCAATGAATAGTCTCACTCGAGGCAATGATATATCATATATGTGAGTTGACATGCTATGATCAACGGGTGGCTTAGAAGTAAAGAAACCTATGAAGGATTTGTATACTAAAGGTCTCCTTGCGCCTTCAAATCATTTGTTATATACTCGAGTACAGCAGGTAGCAAGAGCCAGCCAGTTGCAGTTGCAGTTGCAAAAAGATATACAAACCAGACTCTATAAACTCTAAACTACCTATTCAGAAAACCTACCTGGCCAAACAATTATAAAAACCATACTTAGTAAAGAACCCAATTAGAAAGCCCCACCCTACACAACTAATACCTGATATTGCCACCTCACTAACCCTAATTCACTTTCACCCATCCCATCCCAACCAATCAAAAAAAAGAAACCACCACCCAACCCAATCCACCCCACTACTCCCTCCACTCTACCACTCCACTCTCTATTACCCGAACAACCCCCAAAAACACCAAAAGAAAAAAACACCAAAAATACAGATTCCCTAAGAGTGCAACGTCTAGGAATCGATTTAAACCAGACGAACTGAGTTCTTCAATCCTCAAATTCTTCGGATGTTAATCAGGGATCATGTTGAGTGATATGAAAGCGAAGTGCGTTACCACTGAGCCATCTGGAATCTGTACGTTGGAACGAGAGACTTCGCTTACTTTGGGTTATATTTGATGGATGGGGAAGGCTGAGGTTGGGAATGGATATCAGATGAGGCTGGGTTATTTGAGGTACCTTATACTAACCAGCCTTTTCCTTGTACTCGAGTATTAGATCCTTAACGGAATTAAGGAATTGATACTTTTGTAATATAAAGGAATGGATTACTTGTATAATATCAGGAAATTGATCATTTTTGACAAGTACTCGTTCTTTTGAAATATATATATTGAGATTTGATTCATTTGCAGCTAGTCCTCCTATATCTCTAGGTATCCATCCCTTCATCTCATCAAGGTCTTTCTTTCCTTTCGGGCTTTTCAGATCTTCTAAACTATCCATCCATTCCCTCCTTTCCTCCTAGATTTCCTAGCTTACCCTTATCTGTTTCTCTTCCCTTATTCTGAATTCTACAGCTTATAACTTGAACCTCATCGTTGTACCCTTGTTGTTGTCGTTGTCGTTGTTGTTGCTAGCTCCAACCCTTAATCGTTTCTATAAATTATTAATCATATCATTATTATTGGTTTTCATTCAACGATTGGAATCTTTCGGTTTGACTTAGTACTTACTAATTTTGACATTATATTGCAGCATAGGAATCATTTCAGTTTGACTTACTAATTGGGTTATAGAATAATGAAATTATTCAAGTGGATTTGAATGAAAGTTGTAAAGCAGTAGAGGAGTAGACTAGCAAGATTGAAGTGGCTTTGAATAAATGAATTTGAATTTAAAACTATACCTAATTAGATTTAAACCATGACATCATTATCTCAATACGAAATCTCAATACGTGTCTTCAAGTTAGTACAATAATTCCTTGTATACAAGGAAAAGACCAGTATGAGATTCCCATAAAGCATGATGAATTGGTGTTTTGTTGAGCATTGAAATGGTAATGCCCCGGTACCAAACTTGCAAACTGATTGAGACATCACCGGCAAAAGAAACACGGTAATTAATATTTCTGCATCGAATAATACTCATCTATTATTGAACACACCGATTGTACCTTTACATTTGAATCACCTGGCAAAAGGAATCCACTAATTAACATATCTACATCAAATAATATCAATCAATCTATCTGTAAACCCATCCATCAACCATATCACACCACTCCATAAAAAACTACAAAATCATCCCGATGACTTTCCTCCCCTTTTTACCTTTCATCAGAGTCACGATTTCATCCAAATCCATATCCATATCCATAAGACCGGATGAAGCGTTCTACATTAAATTACATTAATCTGTAACCTCTGAAACCATTCATCCTTGATATTTGATAAAGCTGCATTCTTCACAGACAACACAGTAATGCAATTAAAAATGCGGGAAGAACTTATATTACATTTCAGCCTCAGAAGAGGTTTCACAAAAGATCATTTACATTACGAGTATTATACATTCAATATCAAAATTCAATGTGCAGAAACACTTACCTAGGTACCTCTCGGACTCTCCTCTATTTCTAGAAAATTAAACCTGAGAACCTTATCAAGCACAGGAGAGCTCGGGGAATAGTGGTATATGCCTATATTAGAGAATACCTATCTTTATCACTTGTTGGCAGAGAGGGAACAAGGGATTTCTGAAAATCTTCCACTCATCAACTCTGGGAGCAACAGCAAAGCTGGCTGGCTTTATATGAATTGGTAGCTTACGGAGAAAAAGTTAAGCCAGTGTGCCATATGAGACTAAAGCTGCGATGCACACAGAGTGAACCCTCACTCATCCCAAAAATGTATATGTAGAAATAGCGTAAAGAGTAGGAATTCGCTGGTGTGGTTGTAGAAACAGAATAGCCCAAAATATCGAGACCTTTGTACGACCCTTACTTCCTTCTCTCCCGCCCCTCCCTAATATATATATGCCCTTTCTTCTCAAACATTCGTGCATAGCAGCTTAGGCATGGAAAGCATCTTCGCCTCATCCCAAGGTAGTAAATACCATGCCTAGAGATCCACCGCAGCGTTTAATGAATATAGTGGGAGTGAAGGGAGAGGCAGACCAAACCCCTTGTTGAAGACTTTGAAAGATCGAGGAATTGTAATTCGTGGATCGATGGTAACACCCACTTCATTCTTGAGTTGCCAAACGCATGCAATGCCGCAGAAGCAGGAGGACTGAACGTTTTAGGAGTAGGAGGAACGTATGGAGAAAGTTAGGAGAAAGCTTGTATTTTGGTATGCCTAGCTCTTCGTGTCTTTCGCATCTTCCTCCCGGCCCTGCCACTGCCCCTCCATCGGAAAACTCTGTATGTAAACGGAGGTTCGTTCTCTACTAGATGTAACCTGGTATCAGCTTGAGCCCCGCAATATAATGGAATGATGGAAAGACTTGCATGATGTGCCTGCTTACTTCTTCTCTTGACCCTGTGTTGGAACTTTCTTTATGAGATTCGCCGAGATCAGTTGTGGCTGCTTCCATTGCAACTATAATCCTCTCGTTGAACAGAATGAAGAGGACTGAACCCTTTTGTAATATCTCTTTGGGCTGGAGGGGAGAGATTGCCTGGGGACTTTAAGTGAATGGAGTTCCGAAGGTTGACAAGAAACGGAAGACGAACCTTGGGAGTGGCAGTCTTTCAGGGGAAAGAATCTTTTAATCAGGGGGGAATGTAATAAATTGTCAGATGTGAACCATAAAACTGATGTTAGGGTAGAGGTTCAAGCAATTGATTTGGTTGAGCATGGTGCTGTCCAATTATGCAATAACCCAATTTTGAGACAAGGAGTGAAGGGCTGAACAATCAAGTTGAAATCAAAGATTCAAGCACCTGATGTATCATTCTACCAAGTGGCTCTCTTCTGTAGCTAGCCTTCAATGTCTTTCACGATTTATCTCACCATGCCCAGCTGCATCCAAAATCTAAGATATATGCAGTTGCTAGGTTGGTGGCTACTACTGGAACTGGAAAACACAAAAGATCATTCAGAGAAAGTTACAAAAAACAAAGACAAAAAGTAGAAAATTTATCCTTGATATAGGAGGGGTTCACTGCTCTTCAAGAGAGCCTTGTGTATTTGTTAGATTGGAGCAAATTTCTCATCAAACAAAATGAATGACACTAGTAAACTTTTCATTTAAATTTGACAAGCCAAAGGTCGGGTTGCTTCGGTTATTTCATCAGTTGCGAGGCTGGAAATTCACCCGACTTTTATAAACAACAACCCGAAAAACAATCCTCCACATCCTCCACCATTTACAACCATCAAAGTTGCTTCTACTGGCTACCGATCGCAACCATGGGAAGAACGAAAACAGCACCCATCGACGTAAGCAAATTGAAATCCATCAATGGAGTTTCTGACAAGAGTTCTTTCGGAAACTTCGGCGACCTCGATGACGAGGGCGATCTTGTAGTTAAATCTACACAAGAGCCTCCATTCGTCACTTTTAGCAATAATGGAACCATCAGTTGCATCCACCCTGGCCACAGAAAAGCCAACTCCAACGATTGTATCGACTTTAAGTCGACATGGATCTCTCAAGCTTTGACTCAAGAGGAAGAAGATTGGGTTGCCATCGATCATGCTGATGGAGCTTCCGGAGAGCGAAAATGCACCAGTCCAAGAGAGAAAGTTCGTGCAGAACAACACGAACGGATGCGCAAGTACATGGGACCAAGCAACGAAATTGACCCACGCCCTACGAGCCTCACCAATGAGGTAGCAAGTTATCCAAAGCAGATAGAGTTCCCACCAGTCGATGAAACTATCAACCGACTTGCAATTCGAGTGAAAGGAAGGAATTTCAATAGTCGTATGTCTCTATTGAGGCATTGGCAGGAGTATAGCGACGAAGTGTCGAGAGACAGAGATGATAGATCTTCAACCCAGGAATTGGTCGACGAGGTTATGGATGATGTCGAGGTCGAACAGCCAAACTCCTCGGAGGAAAACAACTACTATCTTCCTCCTTCGAAAAGACCGTACTCGCCTACACCTCCATCTCGAACCGCTTCAACTACTATTGAGTCCATTCGAGCTTGCACCAACTGCTATGAACGCCACGTTGGGTGTGACAGAGGTTTGCCTGGCTGCTTTGCCTGTATCGCAATTGATGCAAACTGTGTCTATCCCAATGTAAGTCACCCGGGTTAAATCTCCATGATTGACAGCTGATATGTTTTCTCCCAAGGTTTCTGCTAAGGCATCTCCAAAGAAGCGGAAAAGGTGCTAATTGGAAACTTTTGCATGGATGATAGGGTGGATTTCCTTTTTCTGGGTAGAGAAACGTTCTGCGAGGGTGGGATGGCTTACGAGACGTGTCCAAAGAATTACATTGAGGGTACGAAATGTCACATCTATCGCAGTCTGAAGCAGAAGAATTCATCTTCCAAGAGGAAACAACTTACAAGACATGCAGTGCACCTGAAGACTTTGTGAGCAATATGAATATATCCAGGGGCACGCAGGTATCGTAGCTAATATGCAAAGTAAGCCTTTAACTATCATCACAGCATGTGCTACTTAGATGTCATCTTTGATCGAGCCAAACTGGGGACCAGGTCTTGAGAACTCGAGGAGATGAAGTTGATCTTTAAATTAATATAATTCTCAATTGATATCGAAAATAGCTCACAAGATCTCGAGGCGTGCATAGTGGCATAGACTTCAAGCCGTTAATGGAGATGTGGTGATGTGTTCAAAATACAATGAAATGAAATGCTATGAAATGAAATAAAATGGAATGTTGGAGTGAAGTGAAGTGAAGTGAAGTGAGAGTGAAGTGAAGTGAAGTGAAGTGAAGTGAAGTGAAGTGAAGTGAAGTTAAGAATCTAGCCTCGGGAAGTGCCGCAAGCAGGAGACTATACCATGGAATTAATTGCCAATCATGCAAAATAGTCACCGTATAACAGGGGACAAGTCTGGTCATCCCTCATCGTCTCGAAGTAGAGATGCTTTGAAATAATATCAATATTGGTGATATTTTACTGTTTTGTTGTCCTACAAGCTTTCGGACATTTAATCTATTATCCCTAATAGTCATGAATTTCGATTTAAACCGGTAGTGCCAAAATCCCATCAAGAATTCGAGCTCTACCTAGCTAGGCGCATTGCATCCCAAATGTTCTCACAATGCTCGATCAGCTGTCGCCCGTTGCTCCTGCGAGAGTACGAGTTGTGCTGTTACCCATCGGGCAAATCAAACGCGTGAGATTCCTGAGCTTTGTAGAAAGATTGCAACCTCAAAATGTTATACGCTTAGGAGATATCAGTCCAGATGGACGTCCCAACAGAAGTGAGGGCCAAACTCTATCTTAATGGGCCCTGGCTGGCAGCGCTGACAGTTAATAGATATGTTTAACCCATTGGCCTTTCCTTTGGGGATGATTGTCTATGATCTCACGACACATTACCCGCCCTCTACCCACCTCTCATTGTCCCCCTTTGAGCTTTACAGGGAGCCGCTCGTTATTATAGCACTCGCAGATGGCGCCGAGCTCGAGCATATATCTTATAAAGGGACTTCGAGGAAAAGTCTTAACGGCGGTGGAGTATCGCCCTTCGAACAGAATGTGCGAGACTTATACCAGGATCTGGAAGACTTGAGAGACAGATATCCTAAGGCGCTGGTACATCAAGTATTATTGTTCGACTATACATATGAGAAGTCTGCTGCAGCCTTGCCGGAAGGCCTAGTCTCTATACCTCCACCAGCTGACTGCGGTATAACGACAATAAAGACTGTCATGTGCGATATATCTGCCTTGCTGCTCGCAGAGATGACGACACTAGCAAGGTCACTCCAGGCTTTGAGCACAATCGAGTCGCCAAGTCAATCAGGGAACAGACCGGTCAATGGAGGCTCTTGGGGCGGAGGCTCACCGGATGGATCTTCGAGACGGAACTCTCAATTTGCACTACCCCAACCAAACTCCAGATCTGCTTCTCCCGCCGGCGCTGTTGATCGTAGCAACTATCGTATGTCGATGCCAGTTCTTCGATCCGCAGCTTCGGATTCCGGCACATCTTCACCTCTGGGTCGTGCTGATAGCCCTGCAAGCGGTCTTCACTCCGGCTCGCCACCAACCTTCGATAACATTATTGGGGACAATGCGCTCACACCGAAAAACTTACCATCTCGACTCGGCACTCCGAGTAGCACATCAAAAAGGGACAGTAGCAGAGATCGAGTGTCAATTGTAGGTTTTGGATCGGGAAGTACTAGTGAAAGATCAAGGAACAAAGGAAAGAGTCGTATTGGAATCGTCGTGGGATCGATGTATATGTGTGCGGGGCGGTGGAATGATGCATTACGCGAGCTAGTTGAAAGTGCCGCTATCGCGAAAGCAAATCTCGATCACCTGTGGCATGCAAAGGCACTTGACAATATTCTTGTGAGTATGCTCATGCTCGCGTGGACTGGGCTGGATTTTCAAATTCCACAAATTTGCTATGTTTCCGCAGAAAAAACACCGTCTTTAACAACTGCTTTGGAGCCGAGGAGTCCCACAAGTAACCGTTTAGTCTCTTTACAGAACTTGGCGGTTTTGCTTCCGGAATTATTGGACAGAATCCTAAATCTCTACACTCGTGCCTCGAATAATACTGGCGAAGCTATGCCGCAATATCCATTTTCTGAAACGGTTATTCGATATGCAAAGCTTTCCTCAGCTCTACATACTGGTGGTGGTCAATTAGATGACGAGGTTTTGCGGTTGATTGTTCTCGGAACCCCTTTTCAAAAAGCACCAAACCTTGCGACCCCTCGTTTGAACATACAACCTACTCGAGGAGAAATTCTCAAAACCATCCTGAGAGCCTTCCCCGTATATTCATCCTCCGAAAATATTGTAGTCGTGGATCGCATAATAATACTCAGTGGTATAGCCTCAGTTCTTGGATCACTGGGATATAATAGGAAGAAGGCCATGGTAATCCGTGAATTGGTTTCTGTGTTGGTTCCAGCCCTCGTTCAAGCTCGCCTTAGAGGGGCAGCAGAGATGGGAGTTCATCCAGCCGCAGGCTTAGCAGCGCTGAGTGCGAACGGGAACACTAACGGTGCCGGAGCTCTTGAACTTGGTGAAGGTGATATGGAGAACGGAGTAGACTCATTCCTCGCTTTACTTGGTCAAACGTATGGAGTTGTAGCTTCTAGAGCTACCGCCGAAGATGAGTTCGATGATTCAGATGAAGCTATTATTCTGAGGATACTAGATAATTCCTCGATCCGCTCTTTTGGAAGCCAGGCATTGAAAATGGAGATCTTGAGATCATGCATCAATCTTTCTGAAGCATTGCCGGACTTTCAAGGCGTTATGAAGTTCACTGCAGATTTGTTGAGAACTGCGGGGAGCGGTGTAGCCCCAGGTCCACGGAGCGAAGATGCATCTCCAAATATGAGTCGCGAGGAACAGATGCGACTAATGTCCAACATTACTCGAACGCTTGGAGCTGCGAAAAATTTGGGAGTTCATGACCTCTCAGCGGAGTATTGGGATGAATTTTTGGTTCGAGGAGTTGAGCTAGAACCTCTACTGCAGTCGAGAACTCCTATCCCACATACCCGCGGAGAACTTCCTGGTGGGGAGAGCATTGCTACCGCTAGGGAAATAAATCCTTTCATATACAACCCTTTCTTACGCCCACCAAATGCTTCTATTGTTGATCACATCATGGTTGCTGGTGAGGGAGCTGTCTTCAAGGTTACTTTGCAAAATCCATATGAGTTCGATGTGGAAATAGAAAGCATCAAGCTTGATTCTGATGGTGCGGGCTTTGAATCTGCCGTGCAAAAAACCGTCATCGGTCCTTACCGAACGCAAATTCTCACTATATTAGGCACACCTACAGATCCCGGATCTCTCAAAATCACTGGATGCACTATCAAAGTGAAGGGGTGCCGAGAGCGACGATTCCCTATATTTTCAGATTCGTGGTCACCACAAGGCGAAGTCAAAATTAAATCTATTGGCGTATCAAAGATATTTGCCCAGAAGGCTCGCCCTACAAGCTTTGGCTCAACCTCATCCAATCCAATACCTTGGGGAGTCACGCCCCCTATGCCGACTACAGTAGGACTCAACGTCATTGACAAACAACCTATCATCGCGATAAAATCCACTAATCTTTCACAATCTGCGTTAATGGTGTTAGAAGGGGAACGTCAAAGATTTTTTATTACATTGGAGAACCTCTCAAAATATACACCTGTAGATTTACTTCTCTTTTCTTTCAAAGATTCTACCCAGGCGCCATTGCAAACCGCAATGAGTAATCGCGAAGCATCACCAGCAGAGTTGTATGAATACGAATTGATTTTGGCACGAAAGCAAGCCCTTCGATACATACCAAAGCCTGGTGAGAAGCCATACATTGAACCTGGTGGAATAGCAACTTTTGAAATAGAGATACTGGGAAAGCCAGGTCTCACAGGTGCTACTGTTCAGGTCGACTATGCACATCTCGGCGTTCCCCAATCAGAGGTCGAGAACGGATTCCACACCCGCCAAGTGAGCCTGCGACTCACTATCACTGTGAATGCAAGCATAGAGTTGGCACGGATGGATGTTATGCCATTTACCGGAAACCTGCCTGTATCTCTGTGGTCCAAAATAGATGGAACCGTGGCAACAGAAGAGTTCACACCTCAAGATCATTGTTTATTAATTCTTGATCTTCGAAATGCCTGGCCAAGCAGTATCCATGTCTCGATAAATATTGAGAAAGGTGGCAAAATTGACGAGGAAGTATTCCCAGGTAATACGTCTCGCATAATGTTTCCAATTCCTCGCATATATCTAGAAAACCCGACGGCCTCCATCCCAGCCCTTGACCCCTCCCGACAACGACAATTCGTCGTCAGCGCAGGCCGAATATCCGCAGATTCGGAACGAGCTACTCGAGAGGCATTCTGGTACCGAGAAGAAATTTTGAAAATTCTTCAGGGAACTTGGGAAACGCGCTCTGGTGTTCATCGCAAAGGCAATATAGAATTGCGCGGTCTTCGTCTCAATCAGCGTGTCATTGATGCTATTAGAATCGAAGATATATCAATTGACATCTCAATCAATAATGAGTCGGGCCCTAAACACGACATTCATACCGATACCTTCTCTTCAATTACAGTTCGCATCAGCAATCGATCTGCCAATCCAATTCACCCACTTCTTCGTCTCCAACCATCTATCCGCAACCACTCACTCACTCAAACCCTCGATCTATCCAAGAAGTTCGTATGGAATGGTGTGCTACAGCAAACTCTCCCACAGATCCCTGGGAAAGAACATATTGAAGTTCACATTGGAATGACACCACTTTGTAGAGGTGAATTCGAACTCAGTGCTTCGATTGAAGAAGTGAGGTTAGTCGATGCACCGAAAGATTATAATGCGATTAAAGAGGGAGGTAGACCAAGAGCTGATACTAAGAATTTGATGGATACGATGTTGGGTGCGAGGGAGAGGAGGATTTGGCATTCGAGAGAACCTTGTTTGCTGATTGTGAAGGATGAGGATGAAGATACGGATGAGGATACGGATGAAGATGAAGATGATGATTAGAAATGGAAATAAAGAAAATTAATTGTTTTGTACATCAGCGTAGCGTGTAGATTTGCCATACCATGTTTCAAGCGTTCGGTATTGCATTGCATTGGACAGAGATGAGATGAATGCATTGGGAGGAATTCTCGCGAGAAGAGCTCAACAGGGATGGATGGTTGTCTTTTGAATATACTATACCTAGGTAATATGCATTGCGAGGGTGGGTGATAGAATAAGTGTGAAGATGAATGATTGTCTGGGATGCGTGCGTGCAAAGAGGGAAGAGGATGCAAAGAGGGAAGTGAGAAGTGGGAAGTGGGACGAGGGAAAGGGGAAAAGATAGATAGATAGGATGAGATACCATACATACATGCATGATGTTTATGAATGAATCAATTTATTTTTACTTTTCATTTTGATATCATTTTGGTACATTAACTTCTGTTTTTTGAAAGGGGGTTGATTTGCTGGGATGTGATGTGTATAGCATAGCAGGCAGTGTGTAGTGTGTGGCGATGAGATAGGATAATGTACTCGTAGTTAATAATGTGAGGAAGCAAGTGATATCGATATTTATGAGATTTTGATGGGATTTTGCGGGAATCTATAAAAAGTTCATGAAGTGAGTGAGTGAGTGGTAGGTATGTAATTATTATCAAATCAAATCAAATCACTACCGGTACCAATCTTACCTACCTTGCCACAAGAGGGTTCTTTTAAGAGACTCTCTTCCATCAATGGGGTAGGGGCCCTAGATATAATCATTATAAAGGTATTGTCAGATGCCTAGATTGTAGCGGTACGTACCAAGTTGAATATATATATATATATACTCGATTGTTATATGAATGAGTATACTGAGTATTTTATTATTTGCTTGCTTGCTAGTGTAAATCCATCTACTGAATGTTACTTTTATGATAACTCTTGATACAAATACAACTCAATACAAAGTAACACAACACAACACGACATGATATGACATATATAACCCAACACAACAATCCTCTCTCATAATAATAACCGACTTTCCATAATATTCTAAACCATGATAGCCAAAGCCAAACCCAAAGCCTCTATCTAGTCCCACTGTCCTACCATCGCAGGTCTAGCAAATTCCGTACCGAGTAGAGTTCCCACATCCCGCTTCTAAACCTACTATGATCATAGTATAGCCAGTTCAGTCCATACCCAGAACTTATATTTAGATTTCTATGCCATAAACTCCCAAATTTCCATTCAAAACTTTCTTCATATTATCCTCCATATTTGGCCTTAAATTCAAGAACAATCCTCAAGCCACACTACCCTGACTTCTAAGACCTCTCCTCGTAGGTTCCCCTGGCTCCCTGAAATTTCTCTCAACCATCCGTTTACAATTGAATATCATCATCAGCTGAGCCTCTGTCGGCATATACTTCTTCGTAGGAAAATATTCATCAAATCCATTCCGAAAATCCAAATTCCTCACATTCTTTAAGTATTTGAAAGATTTGAACATATTGGCATCCATAAATATATCCAAAGCTCTGAAATGAGCCTCAATATCCGCGTTGTTTTGTTTTTCATCCAATTCCATGAGTGCGTCTGGATCATCCGAATCAACCGATTCGGAATCTAATTTTGTATCGACCCTGATTTCAAGAAGTATGTTGATGGTAAGTTTGTTGATGACTTTGGACTTGGATATAAGCTTCACAAAGTCCTTGATGAAGGTCAAAGTGCGTAGATAAGACCGAAAATCCCTTGCATCTTCATAGTCTAGTTTCCAAGTGTCGATATCCAGAAAAAATAGAATGTTCTCGGTATGGTCATCTTCCAGAGCACAATCGAAATGTATCTTTTTGAATTTGGCGAATACATGAGGTTCCATCCATCCACCCACGTCCCCCTGAGTGTATTCTATGGTGCCACCAGCCAGCCTTTTCGCAGTGTCTGTGAGCGGGTTACGTCTCCATGGATTTTTACCATACCTTCTTCCGTATTTCGAATATTTATTTGTTAGCCAAAACATATCGTTGGCGTTGACGACGACGATGCCCTCGGTAAATAATACATCAGAGGCTTCGTCGTGTACTTGTTTGTTGACTCGCAAAATTTCGGGGTGCATGCTATAATCTTCGAAGTCGGCTTCAGTGAGAATCGACTCTGCTTCAGGATTTGTCGAGAATTCGGGATTAAGATTCAATGGTTGGCCTGCGTTTTGTTGCTGTAATATTGTCACCAATGAATGTTCCAGTCCATCTATAGCGTCAGGAGGTCCACCATTTTCTATCTCCATATTTGAATTATCACCATCGAGTGAGATTGATTCTTCATCGGTCCAGCCGTCATCGGTCGAGCCGTCATCGTATTCACCACGGCAAAGAATTGGATCTTTCGCTTCAATGCTAACATATTTCGAAGGAAGAAGAAGATATCGATATATTTCCAATCGAACTTCTATTTTTTCGTTAGTAAATGTATAAAGGATAAATACTCTGAGACATTACCTTTGGGGAGAGATAGAAGTCTAGATGACATATCTGGTGAAGGAATTGCTGCAGGATGCTCCGCATAAGGATGAAGAACTTCCATCAAAGCAGCTTGTCGTTCCCTTTCCTTTTGTGCCTGACAACACAATTGTTCTGCATGAGTCTTGGTTGGGTTGCTGGTTCTGTAGATTTCCATTAGAGCATCTAATTGACGGTCCCATCGAGCTCTTCTTATTAACAATAGCATTATCTGGTGGTTGTCCAAGTCCATCTTTGCGTATATGATGTGGAAAAATGGAAATTGGAAAGATTACTGACAGACCCAGCATATATTTTATTATATGACATCAATACAAGTAGTACTTGATAATCGTGGGGTAATTTGTTTATGCGCTAAATTTAGCGGAAGTTATTGGTAATAAATTAGTAATGATAAGGAGAGGAGGAATATTGAGCTAGGGGAATATGTACTCGAGTAAAGGTTATTAGTATAACTATAGCGATATTCTATATATTATTTAATTACTAATCTCGAAAATAGTTCTATATGATGATTGTACCGGTATGTGTTTGATATATATGAAGGAAGCTTCGTACCTCGATAATGTATCTCCGAAATGTGATTTGCATTTTATATACACCTTGTTGTATAATCGAGTACATTAAGATACCTCTGAAATGTGATATACAATGAATGTATTGAATAGATGAGGATGATATTATATGAGATGTTTTGTATGGGTGAGGATGATAGTATATTAGATGTTTGTATGGGTAAGGATGATAGCATATGAGATGTTTTGTATGGGTGATGGGGTGATGTGGAATCAGCATCCTCATCATCTTCCATCCAAATACCCCCCTCCACAACACCAAACACCTTCCCCCAGCCCCGCCCCCCCATACACAAGTCTCACCCTCGGACAACACCAATCCGGTTTCTCCCTCCTCATCAAATAATGACCCTCCGGCTGCCAAGAACTACGATCCCTTTCCGTAGCCACCAATTCCAATTCTTGCAACCCTTGCATCTTCGATATCGTCTCCAAATTATAATGACCAAAATATGCCGCATCTTCAACCGCTAACTCCAATTTACGTATCCCATCGCGTTCTTCCCCATCCACATAGGATATAATCCCATCCGCGAGTTTGATCGTGTCAATGGTGAAATTTACATAAATGTAGGATGGGGAGTGTGGCGTGCGGAAGAATGATTGGTAGTAAGTGAGAGCTTCGCAGCGGGATTCGTGCCACATGTGTAAGAGGGATGGGATGGGAGTCGGTGAAACGTAGGATTTTAGGTACCGGCGGCGTCCGGGGAGGAGAGTACCTTTTTGGCAGGTTATTTGTACGGTGCGGGGTTCATTGAGGAGTATGCCATAAATCTTCAGGCGGAGTTCATAGGGCAGAGAAAGAAAGACGTGGAAGTGAGTTAGGGGAGCTGTTGACATTATCGCGATACCATGGGGTCAAAATCGAATTTGGTGAGAACGGAATTGTAGTCAAATATTTTGCTGTTGTTGTTATTCCATAAGAGAGCTTCAAGTAAGTTGGAGTACATGTGAGCTCGTTGGTCTTCCCACGATTGAATATATCCTTCCTTGGGTTGATGTCTGTGACAAGGTGGCGAAATTGTATAATTGTAAGTTTGTCTATTTGATTGATGGGTAGATATAGCTTTTATTCTATTCAGAATTGCGATTAGTAGGCTGACAGTGGGGGAAGAAGCCTGTATAAATTGTAGGGTTCTTCAGGCTGATGTTTCAAGAGCTTTATTTGACATGCTAAAAGTCTCATGAATTAGCCTCAATATCTTTGTCCTTTGCCCTATTCTCTCACTTATCATCATATAACTTGCCTCTCGCTTTTCATCGATCTAAATCCATACTCAAATGTGACTCTTATGAGTATTACTTCCGATCGAACTCTCTGGCACAATGACCTTTCCATTGATTGCCCATGGGCTATAAATAATGAGGGGGGTCCTACGAAAGGTTCGTCTACAAACCTGTTATCTCAACGATCGCCCTGCAACATGAGCTTTCTCGAAGATTATCACGTGGAATTTTATTGCCTCGTTGGTGTGATCAGACTCAATTGATAATAATCTTCACATATACTGACCTTAGTGGCGTGCGTTATGTCGTTATAATCATATGAATTGGCCGTATTAGGTGATGTAGGTGTGGGCAGAACAGCAATCGCTCCTCAAGTGTCACGGCCTTGTCTGGTGGCTGTAAACGGCTCACTAGCTGACAGTTAACATCAATCATTTCGTTGCAGCTCATGACTCTATGGCCGAGAATTCATATCATAAGCAAATTGTTCTAGATAGCCAAAGTTGCATGCTGAAAGTACTGGATATAGCTGATCGAGACGATTATAAGCTCTTGGCGAACAATGGATCAATAGAATCCGAAGGGTTTGTTCTGCTTCATATGTCTGCAGCCGATGGGGCTTCATATGTGTGAACACTTTCATGAGCAAATCTGTCGCATCAACGAGGACTACAGTCTCCCAGTTTGCTCTTGAAAACACGAGCGAAAAATGCGGAAAATATCAAACCCTCAGGATCTTCAGTTGGCAGCTGAACTCGAATATCAGTTTCAGTTTACCAAATACTCAGCCATGCAGGCCAAGACTATTGAAGATACATTCTACAATTCTGTGCGAGATATTCAAAAGGGATGAATTCGTAACCCACGATCTGGATCACATCGAGACTCGGGGATATCTTGGTAGTCGACCTGGGCCAGGCGGTGCCGCTGCTCACACTGTCACTACATCAGGTTGTGCCAACATAGTCAACTTGCTCTTCAAAGAGAGGCTGTCATCGATGCTAGAGGTCCATGTGGCATCATACCATCAAAGTCAGCTGCAGTGAAGGGTCATACATATGTCGATAAGCCGCTTGTCCCCAAAGATGCTAAGGTGCACTTGACAAATAAGCTGTATGGCACTGCACTCTGTGTGGCTATTGTGGGAGCCCGATGAGAGGTCATCAGAATCTAGCTGGAAAGTGGAGCGGATGACAACGGCGCAGGCGGGCAATATGGCAACAATCTGAACGCTTTCCAAGCGCTAGTCGATGTTAATGGCAGGTGTGAGGGGGTGTACACATGTTTGCAGTTGTTTGCATATACTGTTGATGTCGGCAGAGACTTCGTCGCTTCTAGTCAAGAAGTACACATCCTAACGGAGCCATCACAAATTCGCCATCGAGTCCACCGCCACCCATCATACGATTTGGGTTCTCAGCAATCTCTTCTCCTGATGATGCAAATTTTCAGTAAGGCGGCTCCCCGCATATCAAGAAGCGGTCGTTTCAGCGCTCAACGGGTACTGAAGGTAACCTGGAGTCACGTAAACCTGTGTTCTGGCTCTATGAACTACTATTAAAACATGCACAACCTACTCAAGGTCGCAATCTACCATTGGATTTCTAAAAATTATAATGTAAGGTGCAGTTCCACGCAAATTAGATATATTAAATACTTGACTGTTTCAAGAGACGACACACCGTTCCCGTCTCGGTTCAAGTCTTATTGACCAAATATGAAATCTCTGGTACCTTTTTTTCATCACCCAAGGCATGTGTCCACACTCTCTGCATTTATCTCGTATACACCTTGGGCTTGAGCATCTCAAGACTCAAGGCCAACAAGGTTCCCCTCACGACACTCTATCACCACTCTCCTAACATAGGCAAATGCTGAAAGACATGCTTCCTAAGTTTCAATCCTACAAAAAATGCAACAAATTGTCTAGAACACATGGCTTCTATACATATCTCCAGAGTAAATTTATTGATTGTGCTCACACATCCTTCATTGCACTTTTCAAATATCTCCATACTTCTTATAACATTCCGATGTTCAAACTGCTCAAGGGCTCAGTATATACAATATGGTGGTACTTTGACCGGTAGCAGCGCTTGGTAAATACACGCCAGTAGCGCAGTATTTCCTGGCGTGCCTCATAGTTGATGTATTTAGTAGGTTATAGGAAAAGTTAATAGATCTCTTGGTAGTGGGAAGAGAGAGTCTAGGGATATGTTTTCGTGGGATATTTAGCGTTGAGGTGGATATACATACCAATAGGTGATGGAAAATTGGAACGCGGACCTTATAGGCAAGCAGTGAGAATAGGTGGAATGTTGTGGGATATGCGTTTTCGTAAAAGTTGCTGGGCACGTCTTGATGCTTTGCGTTTGGTTGGTGTTGGAAGAGAGAGTGAGAGTTTCTCATCCATTGTGGTGGGGGATGGGAGGGAAGCAGGGTGCGAATCAAGATTATTGGGTTTCCGAGGAATCACTATGAATGGGTTATAAACTGATGCAACTCTTTCAACCATCATAACTATCAAATATCAGAGGAAAGATCTCCATATTTGGATGAGACATCTGTTATGTAGGCGCTTAGTCGCAGATCAATTCCGCGGATCGAGTTGCTTCAACACGATGGTGCTGGGAGGAATTATAGCTTTTGTTATTTTCATCCGAAGTTTGGATGATTTGAACTGTTGTTCTCTTTTCTCTCTTCCTCTCCATCTTCATCGCTAGCTAGTCGTATTCCTCTTATTCACTGCGTTCAATTGTGCTTCTGGTTGAGCAACTATTCATTCATACACCATTTCCAATGATTGTTTTATTGGTTGTCTCTTCAAGATAAATTTGAAAGTTGAAAATGACAGCAATTTATCATTGAGTTATTGATAATGAGAAATTCGTTGATATATCTCCTGGGAGAGCATCCACAGAAAGCTTGAATTCAAATATTGTTGGACTTGGAGTATGATGGAAAGGCTCAAGATGTGGAATCGATGCTATTAGTAGGAGAGATGAATAATCGATGGATGTGGTTCGTATATGCTGTACTGTACTGCTTTCGTTCTCGTTTGGGTTATTCATATCGGCATATTTCACGAGAATAACAACGCTCAAGTATTCAAGGGAGTACTCGGCATGGTGTGAGTTGATTCTTTAATTGGATGAGAGGTTACAAAATTCACGTATATGATTAGCACCCGCCACACAAGTAGTCGAGTATCAGTGAGTCAAATTCGATAATACGATGGGATCTGGGTCACCCTATGTGAGCTACAGACTCGAGGTCGTCCATGGAGTGCTATTTCATATGTTGGTAAGTCTACCACTTTATTGTCGAGACGAATTCATAGAGGTCTTATTACCCAACAGTTGGCGATCAAATGATGTTACCAGACCAACTGAATAAGATTGGTATGCCCAATACACACCTAAAACTCATAGATCCAAGAACTGGCGTCGAAGGTTATCGAGTCAATCTGGGTCTGGGTCTAGAAGTTTCCATCAATGACATTGCATAAAGCCTTCTCCAACAAGTCGTATATAGAGATTGGTAGGAATATATCAGTGGCGAGTTCAAAGAAGGACAAGAGGACTTTCAAATACATACAAGTACATTCCCCGCGTATTTACTCTCCCTTTTATGAGAAAGTCTGATAGGCAATTCCTAGACCATTGTCTAGCGGTAGACATGTAATCTTAGCACAATCTCTTCTTACTCCCCGCAAACAAATTACTTATCATATATACATACCCCGGTTTCACAGACCGAGCCGTCGAGCTACGGCGTATCTAGACGGGAGAATATATCTGGCGCAAAGAAAGATAAACCACGTACTCACTCACACGGCAGAAACAATTCTTTGCTCACATCAGAACAGGCTGAAGTAAGATGGGTTGGGCCAAAAATATATCTCCATTTCTTCATCATCTAGCTTCCACTTCATCGCACACTAAGTAAACAATCCCCACAGACCTAGCCATAGACCCCTTAGCCTGACCATCCACACCTAGCACCTAGCCACACACCTCCATAAGTAACAGTAACCATTCCAAACAAGTCCTATCTGCCATCGTGATCACATCATTAGACCGGATGATAGTTAACCTAGATCAATCCCTTTGTCCAAAATTTTCCCCATCCCCATCCTAACACCACCAAAATCTCCCAGTTGAAAAATGACGGCCGAAATACCAAGTACAGGTTCCGAGTCGTTAAGAAATGAAAATAAAATAAGACAATATCCATTGACAACAAAAGGGGTATGTGCATAGCATTCAGAAACGTTCCGCCGTGCTCAAATGCGCTAACCTTGCGCTGAAAGTAATGGTACAATAAAAATAAAATGTCCATCCATGGAAAAGGTGAAGGAAAAATGCGAAAAATACAGCGGCTGAATAGGGACAAAATGTCCCTTAAATGAAAAGAAGAGGTCGTAAAGGCCAAGTGGAAGGGCGATTAGCTTTCTTCCGTAATCCCAACCTCACCACCTCCTTCCTCTCTCCATTCCCGACTTTGATCGGTCATTTTCTTGACGCCGCAGAGACGACCTGCCCAGAGACTTTCTACTGGGGTTCGGAATGTATATCCTCGCTGGCTACTGATGACGCCAATGGCTTGAAGTACTGCTTTCCTGTTGTCCCTGCCAAACACAGCAGGGTGATTGATCCATTCTAGACTTGCTTCTAACTCAGCATCAAGGGCCGAGACAGTGTTAGGATCAATACCAGGTGCTGTAGTGATTGCCGAGAGTGCGTCGTTTGACCTATGTCGAGAAATGGGGCCCAGGGTATGATTTGAGGTAACCGTAGTAGCAGATGTTGGTGAAGGAGTACGGCGTCGCTCGGGCGTACGGTTTGTGGGAGATGAAGAACCAGTCCGGGATGAGAGATTGTTGTTGGGTGATCTTGAAGGTGGTGGAGGAATTGGCGGTAGACCACCTTTTCCTAAACCTTTCAAGATTGATCGTGTCTCGCTCAAAAGGTGTTGTGCACGATCGTGTTGACCACGAGAAACTAAGGTAAGAGCTCGCGTAAGCATGTCGGATGTGAGAAGTTCCATACGGCGTTGCACGACGCTTGGATGAGGTGGAATGGGTGGGGCGCTATTCCAGGTGGTGTGCTTCTTCTGATTCGTCGGAGCGGGGAGCATCGTTATAGCCAATAATGAAGGGCGGGGCAAATGAGTAAGTGTCCCATCTCGGAGAATATCGCCCCAGTTTAGGTCTGCTTGAATCAAGGGTACCTCCTCTATTGATACAACTCGTTGGTCTTCTTGGTCAAGTGGTCCACCAAGAGCCTCGAGACCAGAAACTATCGAGTCCCATGGATCTTGCGCTAGTTGTTCCTGCGAAGCATTATCTGGAGCAATGACTAGCTGCACTAGGATGTCCCTCTTGTCCCCAAATCTAAGATCTCCCAAGGAAGCTTCGGCATCTTTACCGGTTGCACGTTTAGTGATTTGTAAAGCTCCGCTAATCTTAACAAATTTAGCTGGCGACCCTTCAGGAAGTCGAAGTTTCAGTTTCACATTTTGATGCGACATTGTTTGTAGGGATCCAAGACAACCTGCAAGACATTCTCGCAACATCATCCAGTCTTTGACATATGTGTAGGAAGCTTTCGTTCGCGTTGATAATTCGATCATGGTGTCAGGCTTGTGTGTCATACCGAGGCCGAAGGAGTGAATAGCAATCCTAAAAAGTGGTTAGCTGTGTTTTCTTTGATAATAAAGAATTCAATACGTACTTTGCTGCCTCAGCCCTTGATACCACAAAATCCACGCTCTCTGTATCAGACGTAGAGGAGTCACTAATCAGAAGCATCGTGGCTATTGGATTGTTCGATCTTCTTTGCATAAGAAGATCCATTGCAACATTCGCACCCTCAACGACATCCGCTCGATGACTCTTTTGCCCAACCGGTCTGATAGAGGACAAAATTTGCTGCCATCCGTTCCATGTTTTACCAGTCATTCCTACAAGTGGTGCTGCACCACCACTAGAACCAAAGGTGACCAAACCCATGCGATCACGATCTCCAAGGTTGGAAATCATAAATTTAAGTGCATCTCTTACAAGACTAATCTTTACACCTTGCATCGAAGATGATATTGGAATAACAACGACAATATCAACCGGAACGTGCACCGCGGCAGGTAGCCGTAGACCTCTGGGTGCATTGATGTACTCTGTCGGTGCAGCGGTAATAGGTCTGGAAGAATTGGCTGATGCTCGCTGTGGCCCTGTGGAATCGCGATTCCACTCTTCTTCTTCAGGCTCCGAGAGATCATAGTCTGGACTTCGTCCTGGAGATTCTTCGATTGCATTCAAATCTAACAATGCTTGTTGCCATAGCTTGAGCTGATTGCGGTTGTCGAATTTGAGATGAAATGATGGTAATTCTGCCACTGAGAGGCTCAAGGTCAATATATTGTTATCTTCAGCAGGTCGTAAGTTAGCTGCGGTGATTTTTTCTGTTTGTCCCAGGGAATTGCCAGTTCCAGACTCGATCACCTCATTCAAATGCTTCTTGATTAATATTGAACCTTTGAGAGTGCATCGGGTGCTTTTTCGAATCCCATTAGATTCGTCCCAAGGTTGGGATGATGAAACCCTCTTCTCTTTCACGCAAATAAGCATTTCCGCGAACAGGAAGCATTCCAATTCCTGCCACGATTGTTTATCTTTTCCAACTCGAACGGTTCCATACAGCCGCAGTTTTCCGAATCTACTTCTCATTAGTGTTTCGTTGGTATTGGGTGAACTGTCATATTTACCGATTGAAATCAAGACCGTGCCAGTTCTCTACCCGGGTCCGTAAACCTTCCGTGATTTCATCCAAAACTTCCGGAGATTCATAAGGATAAAAACGCGGTGCACTCTGCGCAGGAGATGGGGGTCGAGCGTAAGTGTCTTCAGGGCGGATGTTGGGTAATGGGGGAGCGCTTCGAATGTCATCTGGGTCGGGTCGCCATTTATTATCAGGTACTTCGATTGTGATTAGGCAAGTCAAAGTCTGTTGCTGTCGGGATCTATTGAGGGTGGGAAACTCTGAACGGATGCTTATGACTGGAGCTGGTATGGGATTCCTTGTGACGCTTGCCCGAGGACTAACAATATCTGACTCCGTTGCTTGTACATCGTAGTCTTGACGGCGGAGTGGACCGCTAACTGGAGTCTCTGGATAACCAATGGATGATGGAGCATTTTCGCTGTCGTTTCTTTGATGCGAGGTTCTCAAGGGTGGTGCATATCTATCCATGCGCTCTCTACTCTCCCTACTATCCCTGTTGCTACCATTATCTCTGCTATTATCCCTAGTTTGGGTATCCTGACTGTTTGCTCTTGTTCTAGTGGTTCGAGCATTGGATTCGCGACTCGGTGGGCGTACGGTCTGGCTTTCCCAAGTCGTGGGCGTGGGCGTGGGCGTTGACCTAGCGGATTGGTCGCTGGCCGAGACTGATCGTACAATACTACTTAGCTTCTCTGGAGGGACAACAGGAATCAGCTTTCAATTCAGGGAAGACGAACCAGTTGTATTGAAAGTCTTACCAATGTCAAGAACATTGCCTCCTCGACTCGTATCCAGACCTAATGGCGCATTGCAAGTTGGGCAATATTGAGCTTCAATTTCCTTAATGTATTCGTAGAAACATGCCTCATGTGAGACATGGCCACATGAAAACTGTAATATTCGTTCTCCCCGTAGTGTGTGTTCCAACGGCTCTTCGCACACGGCACATTCACTTCCAACAAACGTCCTCTCCCTCCTGGTGCGAGTTCTATCCGTGTCCAACATTCCTGCCATTCCACCACCAGCTCGCTGTTTGAAATCACGACTTGCTTTGCTGGCTAGAAGTAAGATCGAGGACGGCGACGGATTGGATTTAGCACGAGTATGTTCTAAGATCTTACGATTATCTGATGAAAAGAAGTATTCAAGTCAGTCAACATAAAGGTAATTTTTACGCATTAGTATGAGCGGAGGGGTGGAGTAATGGGCAATTTGGAGTTTGGCTACTGCGTACCCTTTTTGGGATGGGATCCTGCAACGCGGGCTCCACCAGGTAAATCCTTGTCCTTGTCTTTCTCTCGCCTCCTGGACCTTTTATCCAAGTCGCTGAGCAATCCAAGCTCATACAACCTTGAAACTTGGTCGTTTTGTTCCTGTTCTCTGCGGCTAAAGCTAGTGGGATTCCTAGTGTCGGGAGAGGAAGGGGGATGATGTGCTAAGAACTTTTTCGACATGAACCACTGTTCCAGAGGGTCTTATTTTTAAAGCTCAGTTAAAATATGACCTTGTCCGTCCGCTTTATTCTTAATCTGTTCCGCTGCCAAGAATCCAGTGGGATTGAGATTTGTGAACACTGAACAGTAGTGTAATTTTCTCAGCACATCTAATGCTCGCTTGTGAGAGTTAAACTCGGCCAAATCCTGGGAAGTCCGGACCAAAAGGAAGAGTTGGGGTGGCGATGCTGAGTATTGCGCGTTGCAAATATCTTAATCTATATCTTTCGGGTGTCTAAATTTGGGTATGGGAGAGTGAGCCGGTGAAGGACAGAACTACCGGGAATGGTACAGGAGTCAATTGTAATCCAGAGGTGTGACGCTGTGGGGTATTTGTGAACACACTTTCCACTCCCAGTGTGCTGATGATTCACGGCTTAGGTCAGAGTAATTGAAGAGGATCTGAGGTAGGATGAGCACTATCCGATGTGATTTGAGATCCCGTGTTTGGTTAATGGATGAGATGCAGTTATGAAAAGGCGAGCGGAAGACCAAGGCCAATAGGGTATTCAATGCAAATGTAAGTCATTCGATAGGGCGTCCGAAAACTTTGCGAATTGTCAAAAAAGGAGGGGAGAGATTTGTGAATTTGCGAATCAAAAAATTGTGCGGATGGCGCACTACAGGGTAAATGAGTTCGTTCGTGGGAGCCTAGGAAAGTTACTGTATATTGAAGTTTGAGAAGTAGCAAAGATAAAGAAGTTGACAGACAGTGAGATGTGAGAAGCCAAATGTTGACGCTGTCCACTTACAATTCTTGATGGATGGACTGATGGTAGCACCATATCTAGGCAGTAGAGGAGGTAGCAAGTATGTAGGACTGTTTTTCACTCATTCCCCAAGAGCTCGAGTGCATGAGCGTGAACACGTAAACGATAGGCTTTCCAGGATACTTACCGTACACAAATGGATGGATTTCTAGGATTTATCGGAGTTGGCTTTACAGGATGTGATTAGATTGGTTCAATGGAGGGGAGGGGGGGGTGGGTTGGTGAAGTTTGGTAGATTTTGGTGGTGGTGGTGGTGGGAAGTGTATGTCACATGAATTGTTACGAGATGCAGAAATAATCAAGGTCTGTAGTAGGAGTAACTGTTTAAGGTAATAAATCTTGATCATTATATCCCGAAATGCTCACAGCTGCTCAAGCCTTCTTAAAGCTTAGAACCTTCTGAAACATGGATCAACGAATTGAACTATATACTCCGTAAAGTATAATAAGGATAGTAATTATATACTCGAGTATAACGGAAGACTTTCGAAGTTTAGAAAGTAATATTCAACGAGTATTAGGATTAAGCAACTAAAATAGTTCTTGTAGCTTAGCATTCCTTATCAGCCGAGACATTTCGATACCAAAATGAAGGGGCTACCGGTACTGTATAAGGTTAAAATAAATTAGAACACACCCTTATTTTGAAGTTTGAGACTTTTGAGCTCCAACACTCTCAATCTGCTAGGTATTATTATAGACATCTTAACAACTTGATAGGACAAGTTCTTACTTTTAAGTCTCGTTTCTGCACTTCGTTGATACAATCCGAGACCAATGTATAGTTGAATCACAAGAACCCGTGGCTTTAGACTATATCAATAGCTGCATATCTAATCTAGGCCATAGGGTATCGGACATTTTACCAAAAAAGAAATCATGTCGGTAAAGTTTCACTTGCAGCAATTCATTACAGTCGTGTATGGTATTTCGCTGTATTCAACATACCGGTATATAATTGACTCGGCGTCTCAAAGACTTATTCTCAATCCATCACCCTCTCCAGCCCCCCAGTCTCTTACTAGTACGAGTATATCACAATAAAAGAACGATAATACCATCCTAGTTTCTGCAGCAAAGCGGAGTGGCCATCAAAAGTCATAAATGAGAAGTTAAAGTTCCTCATTCGAAGCATTATTGTACCAATCAAATTTTGTATCATGGTGCTACTGCACAGTACATGCTATAATCCCTGGTCCGCGCCCGTTACCCGCCTGTTCTCTTGGATATTCCTGGTTTGCAAAAACTTTGAATGCTTGCTGGGGCTCTCTCCATCATGCAGAATGATTACAATAAAACAGTATCTGATCATTTCTTCTTACGGTCTTGAATAACTTTAAGAAGAAATGCATTCATGTGATACTCGAAACTTTTCTTTTAGGCTTTGTGTTTATAAGAGAATGATATCCTCAAAGTTTAAAACCACACTCATTCTTCTCCATCTCCCAATCTAGTTCGAGTCTCCTGCACTGTTCTTGGTGTTCTGGATCAGGAAGGAAAGGAATTTGTTGAATTCTTCCTTTCTGTAAACGGAGAAAGAAATGATTCAGGTATAAAGCCTTTAATGTATTTGGCTATTGAACAGCTGGAAATAGAGTCATTATTGTATACTATCCTATACTATTTGATTCCGTCATCTGTCATATTGATTCGGACCCCCATTCTTCATAACTCAATCGATCTTGAGGTTAAAACCAAATGGTCCAGTGGGTCAGATACTTATATTAACACTCTCAATGCGGAATTAACCCAAAGGTTTCAACCCCACAAAGCGAGATATGATATCAATCCAGATAATGATCTACTCTACTCATACTATCTGTATAAGCAAAAGCAATTTAGAAACAAAAGCAGAACTTAGAATTTTGGGTCTACAGATCCAAGGAAGTTCCTGTGTCCTCAGTGCTCATTCCTATCTTAAACATCATGGTTCCCACGCGGTTTATATCAAATGTCTCATCCCCATATCCACTTTCGATCGTCAAAGCTACGGGATGCCGCCAGGAACAGATATGGTAATGTCCGCTGTCATTATTCTTTTCGATCGACTTTGTAATTATATGTTGATAAACTTGATAGACTCGAGTAATGGTATAGACTACTTTCGTAAATGCTGTCCGTATATGCCGTACACCAATAATCTGTTGTAGAAGATACATATTTCCTTAGAGATTTCGCTCAGATGTCTTCTAGAAACCTTCGAATTGTGGTCAGAGCTTTCAATCTTGATATACAGTTACCTAGGTAGTAGTATATAATATCAAAATCCTGTATTCTCCCCAAAGCGTTTTCTGAGGATAATAAATCCACTACAGTATATTGTTTGATTATGAAATGGAATGTTACACGATCGATCTTGCAATCACTTAATCTCAATCAATCATTTTTGAGAAAGGATTCAACAGGATTGGAATACATGTGTGGCACCTCCGTTCCTGTATTTAGGTACACCCACGAAATATGTGCTTATTGCGTATACAAGCAACATCGGCAAAGAAGATGTGCCATCCTTTCCTGTTGAAGTATGACTTCTGTAGCGCTACATCCGCATTCTCAGAAATCATTGCCAAAACTTTAACAAAAACTACACTTATGCAATATGCTTACAAGATCAAGATCATTCGAATACCTACGCCACATATACTAAGCTCGAAGCATACAATTGCGCGCAACTACAGGGCTGTCATCCATCTACTTTGTGTAAAATCTATCAGATGTTAGACGAGGTGGCTTGATGTTACCCGAACTTCTCCCCTAAGTATCTGAGGTCAGCTTCACATTACTGCGCCGCAGTGTGGGAATGAAGAGCATTTCACTACATCTAATGATTACTTCATTGTACAGTAGTGTTTGCATACTGTATATAAAAAGAACAGAACATCCGCAAATAACCTTCAAATGATGACAGAAACCTGGAACGAAAGAGCTTTCTTTAATTGGTCAAAGAATGAATCAAGATCAACAGCCAAAGACATCATCATACACACATCCACCCACTATCGCGCAGAAATCACACTGCGATGTTACCTTCTAAATTCCTTATCGTCCCAAAAGGGAAAGCATTTGTTCAATCCACCATCCTTTTCGGAAAGTTGCTTTACGAGCAGTCTGACACTCATACCCAAAATAACTTCGCAAACCAACCCTCCCTCTTGAATCATTATGCATCCACTAAACTTAATACTCGAGTATAATGGTTTCGCATCGATCTCTTGCCTAAAAGATCCCTTTTGCAGGATCTCTCAGATGCACCTCGAACCTGTTCAAATCCTAGTTGGCTTGCATGTTCGTACCGATGGCCACGAGCTTCTCGCGTGCTAAGCATGGTCTCTCATGGTTGGTTTTGGTGTCCGTAAGTATCATAGTTGATAATTCGTGGAAATAGTTTTGTTCTATTGGTTGTTTCGTTTCTTCGATCGAGCATGGTATGAAACTTTCTCTAGTGGGCTAAATATCGGTTGTAAACTTACAAGTGCAAATTCTCTCATCCATGTTATGTGTATTCTATATCAATCTATCAAGCCCATAGTAATCTTACTTTAATTCAAGGTTGATCAAAACCTTCATGAACCCCGCCAGGATCTATATGCTTCATGTTTCTGGGACAGTTTCTCGATTAAGTCTGCTGGAATATTTTGTGATGTCAGTGCGAAGGTTTCTCGCTATCCTTTTCATATGAAACATGGGCTTTCTCTTTAGAGGCTGTTTATATAACCATATTATAGGCATCTTTCTATAAGGTTCTGTCAAAGCCCATTACCTGCTCCAGTAGTTCAATTTTAGACTTCGCTAACAGTTCATTTTGACCAAAAACAATGATGGCAGCTCGACTCGAAAACAAGCTTAACTGCCATGGTGATGATGAGCTCTAGCCCATCAGTTCTTTTCTTTAAATACCAATCATGATCCTTCGACTGTCACATGATCCCCTAATTTTTCATGTATAATACGATAATACGTCCCGTTACGCGTCATTATCCCCGCGAAACCAGGATCTTCTTACTTGCAGATTTTCAGCCCAATTTACAAGTGGGCTCGATCGACATGGATGGATGGTTAAGACAATGACACTTTTGTAACTACTGGATATCCATTGATCTCCTGTGCGAAGTCTATTACAGTAACTGTAAATAGCTTCAATCTCGCCTATAATTCACCAGCTCATCTCATCGCCAACACGGGTTGACTACC